TAAGGCTGAGCTGATTAGAAAACAGGTACAGACAAGCTTACCCCCTCTTAAAATGACCCTGTGACAAAATTCTCTGTAGTGTTTAACCAGTAAGCACTTTTATTGTTGATTTTGACTCCATCAAGACTACATTATGTTGGATTATAAGACTTTAGCTACATCTCCCACATCTGCATGCAGGTTTTACATTTGCAAGGTTTTCTCAGAAAAATAGAGCAGGCGCATAAAATGCATAAAGGTTATGATTATAACATGGAAGCAGCATGTCAGTTACAGAAATTTGTACCACATGTACAAGTAATAAAGTCAAACCCCATATAAAATCTCTTTGTCAAAAATCCAACTGCTTCCTGTGTCCCTCATCTCCATGCCCTGGCTGACTATCAACCTACATCCCCACTATTTCTGAAAACAGACATTTTTCTAAAAAAAGTTTAGTACAGTACATTTTTTTCCCTTAAGAACTATAACATTTCTCTTTCACTACCCCCTCCCCCCAAATGAAAAATCTACCACAATCCACACATCTGCTCAAGCACTGTTATATGTTTAGCATCTTTATTACATTATTAAAAAGTTTCAGGTCAGTAACGAACTTCTAAACAAACTAGGATGACCCAAAAATTTCCCTTCCCCCAAAACTAAAGAGAACTGAAAATGCCATACTGCATTATCACACTTGCATGCATGTATCCTGAGCCACCTGTATTTATTCACCTTAAGCCCCTTTTAATAAATAACTGTCCAGCAGTAACATCCAGAAGTGTGCTGTCTCCTCCAAATTAAACTCTATATTTACAGAACTAGGGCTGTTTTCTCAATTAAACGTTTAAAAACAAAACATAAAACCCCAAAACAACAACAATAAAAACATCAAACAATTACAGAGAGAAAGCATATTACTGATTGTTTTGCTTAAAGATCAAAAGGAGTAAAAAGCATTAGAAGCACCAGGTGCACATGCATTTGAACTGGTACAGTTCATGAAATAATGTCATTCATTGTTATGCTCACTCATTCAGATGAGGAGCTGATTCTTTTTCTTTTTTCTTTCTTTTTTTTTTTCTTCCTTTTTTTCCCCCTTTTTCAGTTAGAACAGTCTGCTCTGCAGGCTACTCCCACAGATGGCAATCCATGCATGTGGGTTGAAACATGGCCATAAACACACTTTGATCAATGTGGTTCTGTATCAGCTTTAAACACATGGGGTTTTCCTCCCTGCTGCTTTGCACCTTGTATCATTTCACATCTGTGCTAAGTAAGAGTCAAAAGGCCCCTGAGTCCACATTTTTCTCTGATTTAGGGAAGGGTTAGATACTCACTTTTTGCATGTTTAAAATGCTGCTATATGTTGGAAAATACAGGGGAATCATCCCACATGAGAACATTTCTTAGCAGTGTAACTACTGTAATCACAACTGACACACAAGCATACCAAAACAAACATTGAAATATCAAGCCAGACAGAGGGATTTTGTCCCTTCATTTATTTTAAGCCAGCTCTCAGCTGATGGACACCAGTATTACTGCCTTGATTTCAGTTGGCCTATGTTGACTTACACCAGGTAAGGCTCAAACTCAATAGACAGTAGAATAGCAACCAGTTTCTCCTACTGTATTGTTATAGTGCCTGATATCCCTGTCAATAGATACATTTCTACATAGCCAAAATGCCTTTCTTTATCCAGTGCAGTATAGCCACTGCCCCCACCTTTGCAAAGGCAATTTAATTCAGGTTCACTTTCCCTTCTTCCCACGTTATTGACAAACTAAACTTGCAGTGCTTCTATTACAGAAGCTGCAGCCAAAACTTGACTGAAACACCAAATATTATTATGCTTAATTTATATAATGGAAATGATGGAAACTCCATTTATGCTGAATATAATATTCAAATTCATGTTTCTTGCATTAACATATATAGATCTGATCACCTGAAAACCCAAACCACTCCTATTCTCATTGCACTTGCAAGTTATGCAGAAATTGTATCTGTAATTTCTGCAAGACTGGCTGTTCCAGCAAAGAATATTCTCCTCAACTGCAAACAACAGATATGTTGGATGTATGATTATGAGAATCCCTCCCTAAGCCAACACCTCCCTTTTCACTGGAATGTTGGTCAAATTCCATCAACAGTAACATCAATGCAAATCTGCAACAGAGCAACAACTCTACTGACTCCTTTCAGGATCTGTGCAGGTGCAAGACAACACAAAATATGGTTTCCAGGCTTTTTCACAAGCCAAGGTTTACTCCTTACCCTTCAATTCAACTTTACCAGCAGACACTAATTCTGTAAGCAAGTTTTCCCTTTTCTTATTACACCATTTGTGAGCACCACGATTGTTTCAGCCTTGCCGCCTGCTGATAAGAAACTTGGCATCTACAGAGCAGTGGTCTGCCCCACTGTCACAAGCAGCTAAACCTCACACACTGTTTTTCTCCGGCAGGGAATCAGCTTTATTACCCTCTACCATTTTAATTTCTGGTTAGCATCTGTTGGCTAATTATTCTTAGATGGCCAACATGAGTGGCTGTTTGGTTCAAGGTTACATACACATCACCACCGGTCTTAGACGCAGCAAGTTTTTTTGACATAGGCTTCCATATGACCAAAATAATGTCAACCAACAATCTCTGCCTGTAAAGCACCTTCTCCCATATCCAGGTCCTTACCCCCTCACTGCAGTTACCCAGTTCCTTTCACTAATGTCAAAAGTAGAGCTTCACCAGAACTGCCGTGGAAAACTGAACATGTTTTAGTTTCACCTTTTAACTGGAAGAAACTGAGAAAAGTAAGCTATGACTGTGTGTTACATTGGCTACAAAAGGCCTTTCCAGTCATAGGAATGCTTCTTTCCAAGCAATTTTTGTAAAGAAAGAGAAACCAAACAAAAACCTACACAGTTCTCACACACAAACACATCTCTCTCATCCAAACAAAAATCCATTCTTATGGACCAAATTATGCAGATCCTATTCAAGTGACTAAAAAGAATGAGTTTAGGGTTGAATACATCCCAATTCTCCTTTCTGATGACAGGTCAGCAAAGTGCTTGGGCATAAGGATGTTCCTCATGGCCTGCAGGACATTTAACACATGCAGAAGTGCTTTGTGGGCTCAGGCCTAAACTAGGAACAGCTCCAAGGTCAGCTGGCACCCATGAGTGTGATTCCACTACCTGCACCAATATACATGAGGTAAGAGTAAAACTCAAGAGAGCAGAGCAGTGCAAGAGGAGAAGGAGGCTCTGTGGTTCTTCTGAGTTTACCTTTGACAGCCTCAGCTGCATACACATGGCACGTGTCACAGTGATCAGAACAGACTGATGAGAGCTTGGTATGGTGTCCTGCAAGTGGGACTTCCACTGGAAATAGTAACCCTAATTGCTATTTGTACCAGTGCAAATTTATGTACCTGTAACAACTCTATGAAAAGGCCTGAAATCTGGAGTAACTACACATTACAGTCCATATTTTATTTTGGACTTCTGTGATAGTAACTACTGTGACATGCTACACACCCACACACAGATGGAGAGACAGCTACATGCTGTGTCATAATGCAATATAAACATTATTCCTACAACTATCCTAGTAACACAGCCAGTGCCAAAGCAAACCAGCATAGGGATTTGTAGCCACCCTCTCCAATATGATATAAAAAAGCAAGCTCAGGTGTTATTTTGATTCACTAGGGAGTGATCTGGGTACAACCCACTCAGGTATTGCTTAGTGAACACTATTCATGGGCCATCCCACAGTCCCGCGTCACAAATTCCCACCTCTGTGTGGGTGCTCACATCACTTTCTGATGACACACAGAGTTGAGGTCATGGGTGAGCAGTCACAATGTCTGGGAAATCCGTTAGCCAAACATTATATAAAACAGATAAAAGCTCATATTGACACATCATGCCATGCCTCTCAGCCATAGGTAGACTGCAAGGTTACGTATTAGTGGGATATGGGCTGTTTAAGGAAACAGCTACTCATAGAGGAATTAATATTTGAATCACAAGAGGATCTAGACCTACATGGCAGTAAGATCAAAAGGAATCTAACTAAACAGCAAAGGAATCAGTCCCTCCATGCTTCTGATATAAATAACTTATGCTGTTTGCATATTACAGCATTCATGCTCAAATTGCATGTGTATTTGCTCCATTTTGGACCATTATTTTTGTAATTAAAATCTATATATCCAGACAAAATATTTTTCTCAAAATTCCTCTGAACTTTGGACAAATCTGAACCCAGGCCTTGTTCAAGGACTGTATTTCTCAAACCCGTCTGGCCTGCAGTGGCTATCATATGCAAGAAGTCTAAACATATGCAAAAATGGGTGGTTCAAAACTGATTTTCTCAGTTTCCCCCAGAGAAAAAAAACAAACCTCTTTTCAATGCTAGATTACTGTTGCTAGATTATTTGTACAAAGTCTCATTTTACCTCATTATTGTTACAGCCTTCTTATAAACTTTCATAGAAATTCCACCTGCAGAACGAAAAGCAGAAAGTTTTCTTTGCACTTATTGTTCTATATTAGCATCTGGATGCAGTACTGTTGGGGAAAAGAAAGCAAATTCCTCAATTAACTCTGTTTAACTAACTTGCAGGTGTCAGCTATCAAAGCAACTGATGCACGTGTACTGGCTAAAGTTATTACTGAATGATCTGACATACCAAGTCAGACAAATGTCAGATGTAAATAGACCTTCAAATGTATACACAACAAAAGCTGCTAACTGTATCTAGATGATAATTTTTGTTTGTTTCTATATCCCATAGCTCTGAACCTATCCACTGAATGATTACTCAGCACGTGTGGTATAAATATATTCATACACTAAAATTGACACTTGGCAATTATTTTTTTTCTTTTTTCTTTTTGCTGACCAGCAACAAATTCTGATATCTTCAACTGTAAACTGATACTCAATAAATATGCTGTGTTCAGCAAAGAGACATGTTTTGTCGATGAGGGTTTTGCTGCACTCTAAACCATGGGCTGTGGGGGTGGGCGTGAAGGAGGTGGTCCAGGAGGGGCTCGGGATGGGGGTGGTCCAGGAGGTGGCTGCCTGGAAGGAGGCTGCAGAGATGCAGGAGAAGGATTCCTTGGAGCACTGTTGAGAGGAACATTGTCACGCTGTGGCAGCTTTGGTGGTGGGATGTAAGGGGCAGAGGTTCCATCTGATTTCACCCGAGTGAAGTTGATGCATCTTCCCTAGAGGAAAAGAAAAATTGATTATTCAAAAAAAGCAGGTGTTTTGACCCTAGCAGCTAGCCAAATGGACTATAAGCAGAGGTACTAGGCTACATTTATAGATCTTCATCCACTATCAGTCACTGAGTCCTAGACATGACACTCAGACCACTTTCTGCTGATGGTCAGCTCTAGAAATGAGTGCTTTCTCCAGGTTAGAGCTCCTGCCTACAGAGAATAGCCTAGGAATTGTTTAAACCAAAAGGGACCCTGGTGTGACTTTGTTCACACAGACCCTATGCTGCACTACTAGAGCTATGCAGAACAAGCATAAAGCCACAGCTCCACCAAAGTCATGCCTGCCTTGCTGAGACCCCTGCTTGACAAAGCTGTGTTTGAAAAAATCTAATAGCAGAGACAGGATTATAACAGAGGAACACCCTTAGCAAAGACACCATCTGTAGCTTTCCTTTTCACCATCATGTTAACCTAGCTGGTGTTCACATTTGAACACCACACTGTGACAGTGTATCTGTCTTCTGTACTCCAAATGTAGATGTAGCTTCCCTCACCAACACAGTGTGGAACTTGCAGAAAGGGCTCTCCAGTTAGTGTGCTTCCAGAATGGATGTGGGATGCTGGCAGGTGGGACCTGATGGAAGAACTATGGATGGAGATTTTAAAACAGGAGTAGCTTTGGTTTGAAAAAACAGCAAACACTGGGGATGCCCTAGTATGCTAGGAGCTAAAGGCAAATACATCAGGACTTTCTTTTGGCTAAAGAAAGCTTTGCATAGGTTCCCACTAACCAAGTTCCAGACAGAAGGAGAAACAGAATCATGTAAAAGAGCTGGAGATGAAGACTGACTGAAAATGCAGGAGTGGCACTATCAACAGCCCACTTCCAGGAGCTGAGATGTGATTTCCAAATAAATAATTGTGGGCTGGAAAGCACCCAGCCCATCAGTGTAGGAACTCCATTTGCCAGCACCTTATCCCTTGCACAGCAGGCTTGTTTCATTCCATGTAGCAATCATCCTAAGGATAATGGCCTCTACTTTTTAGTAAGGAGGTGAATGTTACCCATTTATTTCTTTTCAAGGCAAACACTAGCCAGGGGAAAAGGAAAAAACCTGTCTGGCCTGTTTAGAAAATATCTGTCCCAGAAGGCATCTTTTCTTCATTGCTTTGAAAGACCTACAGAGCCACGATGCTCTGGAGCACGCGGCAGCGCAGAAGACAGAGCGGCAGCAGCACCGGCAGCGGTGAGAGCTGTTCCTTTAAATTTACTGAGGATTTGAGAGGGAGCCGGGCTTCCCAGAGACGGTGAAGCCGGGGCAGAGCCAGGAGACCCGAGTCTGAGCGGGAAGCCTGCGAGGGAGAGGAGAGGAAGGCTGACGTGGCAGGGGGTGTGGCTGTGAACGGCGGCAAGGTTTAAAAAGCGGCCATTTGGCAGCCTCATCTGAGCACGCGGCAGCGCAGAAGAGAGAGCGGCAGCGGCCTCCAGAGAGGAGACACGTGGCAGGCGCGAGGGCAGGCGGAGAGGCAGAGAGCTGCACGAGGGCAGGCAGGGAGCAGAGGGCAGGCAGGGAGCAGCGGGTGCCTTCTCATCCTAGGAAAAGCAGACTAGTAACTAGATTGATCATGGTCACAACGCGGCCAAAAACCATTGTGAAGAAGAATGTGGGGACTCAGACGGAGCTCCCAAGCAGGCACGCAGCAGTGCAGGTCTCTGGCTGCAGTGAATGCCTGAGTCTGGCACTGGTATCAGAGGGAACCAGTGACAGCGCATGTGTGCGGTGTGAGCAAGTAAATGATCTCCTCAGGCAGGTGGTTGAGCTGACAGAGGAGGTTGCAAGACTGAGGGCCATTAGAGAATGTGAAAGTGAAATAGATTGGTGGAGTCAAACCCTGAGGCAGGGGCAGATAGAAGACGTTGGGCAAGTGACGGATCCTCTCCCCTCCTGTCACCAGGCAGATGGAGAGGACTTAAGAGATATTAAGGAATGGAAGGAGGTTCGACCTCGAAGAGGCAAGAAAAAATTGTCCCAGAAGGCATCTTTTAAGATTCTATGATTCTATGATTCTATGATTCTATGCTGATGACAGCCAAAGGTTCGGGTTGCATGCTGGAATCAACAAACCAAATTCATCTTCCCAGCAAAATTCAGGAGAAGGACTCCAGATTTAAAAAAAGCTTATCTCAGAGCTAAGCAGCTCATGATCCCCACAGCTGCCAAAGAACAACTAGAGAGAGGGTTTTTAGGACCCTGAACAATGCAGGATGCTCAGAAAAGAGAGGGGTCAGTATTCCCTCCTCCCACTTCTTGCCATACTCTACAAAAGCCAGGAGAACCAGAAGCTCAGCCCCTTTTCTTCCTGCACTTTCTTCCTTGCTGCTGCTCAGAGCTTCTTCAACTTGCCATGTGGTCTCCAGAATCCAACTCCATCAGGTGTTGTGAGGAGCCATGGACAGCCCTCCAGAAGTGGCCTTGCTGCAAAAGGCACTTTCATCCACCTACTCCTGTGATCATCGAGATTGGTTTTGTATATATCTGCATATAAATTAATCTGTTTTTTCCCCGTCATGTGTTACTCCCTTTTCTGTGTTACAGTAAATTTGTTCCAGTTTCAATTTCCAAACCCTTATGTCTCTCTTCCTTATTCCCCTTTTATCTTCCTTTGGGAGGGTTGACGGAGGGGTAATAGGGACCAGTTCTGCCCTCTAGTTTGTGGTTTGCCCTGATCACTAAACCAGGACAGTGTGATAACATGGGACAACAAGAACCCACACCAGCAACAGATTGCTGCTATCTCAGTGGTGCTGGCCTGAGGAAACTCTTGAAGTATTTAGGGAACAGGCTAAATTTCTGTGGCAATCCCACAAATCACAGTGTCCCCTGGAATCCAGACAAAAGCCATCACTGCTGAAGCACAACTCTGATTTGTTAAGTGACTTCAAATGCCTACACCTTCATTTATGAAAACTACTCCTTAAAAAAGAAGGGAATCACTTAAGTCTATGGCTTCTCTAAAGAAGTCAAGCAGAAGACCAAGAGAAGCTTGTGTAAGCTCCAAAGAGCTTGGAAAAATGATTCAACATTGCTAACGCCCAAATGGTACCACCCTACCACTTACTTGGATTGGTTAGCTCAGGGATTCAATAGCTCAGCTGCAGCCAAGAGCTGTTTGAATGGGCACGTTGTTGCCTGTGAGTGAGATACTCAGTAGTTCTCAGTTCCAGCTTCCACCATCACAAATTCACCACTATACTTAAACAACAGCTTTAATAAGTAGGATAAAATCCCCTTCATAAAAAATCAGGCTTGTTATAGCAGACTTTGGTTATGAACCAGGTTGAATGCCATGCTATTCTAGGGACAGAGCCTCTGCATGAAGGTATCAAAGTGCAAAAGCCGAGGTCTTGGTTACTTGTGCAAAAAAGATAAACCACTGGATCAAAGAAAAAAAACCCAAAAACAAGTCAGTGCTTTGCTCTACTCCATCAGAGAACTCAAGTCCTCACCAGCATTGCAGCAAACATCCATCCTTGTCAGTTTACAACAGTCATTTGCATTCTGCTGTGCTATACTGTATTCAGAACACACTTGGAAATTCGGTAATATTTACTGCTCTACAGTTAGCACTACAGATATATTTAACCGCCATAATGCAAAACATTTAAGAAAACTGCGCCTTGATATTTATAAAATTATTAATTTAGGACAGCTAAATAATCATCCAGGGGAAAAAAAAAGAAAAAGAAAACGCGAGGTATTCACAGCTGAGATGCAACACATGTAGAAGTAAAATATTAAGAACAAAACAATCTCCCTCATAGAAAATACAAAACCGCAAACCCCACATTAGTGCTTTTTCCTACAAGCCTTTCCTGCCTCTCTGTTGTCTCTCTCCTTCAAACATCAATTCCAAATATATTCATAGTCTATAATCAAAGGGGATCCCATAAATCTGTTTGCATTACTTTCACTTCAGTTAAAGTGATAGGCGACGTCAAACTGCTGCCAGTTTCTGCCACACTCACTGATTTGTCAGACAGATGGGTAATTTAAAGGCCGTGCGCTGCATTGTGTCATGAAAAATACGGTTAGGTTGGGAGAGCCTGACAGACAGGGGCTGGGATGATCGATGTACGTATTGTGACACTTGCTCACAAAAGATTGTTGGTGTTAGCCTACAATCTCATAGATCAAAGACTTCTGGTGAATACTGGAGCAAATCCTCCCCAGCACTTCAAGCAGCTATTGATAAAATGAGGCCAAGCTCTTAGCCAGTGTTAGGATTAACATCCAAAAGGGAAAGGGAGGAACAAATGATAATAAATCAAAAGTCATGGTTTGGACTTATCAACTGTTATTTCCTCAAAGGATTTCCAGGTTGAAGAATTAAGGCCTTCTCTCATCACACTTCCTAATAAAGAGTGGCACAGCTATTCTACCCAACACTCACATCCCTCTGGGGTTAGTTTACAAAAAATATCCATGATGTTTCTCAAATAAACATGCTAACCACAGGATTTTTAATATTCTGTGTTTGAAAGGATTAAGTTATTTCCGCTCCAAAGCTGTATAAAGGCTTTTAAACCATGGAAAACATGGACAGAAATCAGGAATCCTGCACACTCACATATGCTCTTGCTGAACAGGGGATTAACAGGGGTTAACAGCCACCACCCTTTCAGTAGCAGTAACAGTTTTGTTTTTTTTCCAGAAGCACGGTAATACACAGTGTTTTAGGGAATGTGTCAGAGTTGAAAGGTGCAGTAATACCATGACAATCTCAGGCACAACAGCTGTCAGTAGCTGCTTCATTGTTTGCCAGGAAGCAGATGATCTGCATAAATCCAGTTCTGTCTGGTTGCAGCCCTGCTCCCAGAACAGCATCCCTTGGACAGGGCGACCTGCACCGCGTTCTGTCATTCAGGCACCAACTGAAGGTCAGCAACGCGCCATATGGAGTTACGCCCTTACTTCAGCTCACATCTGCACAGTCTTCCTAAT